TGGACTCTCTCCAATTTGTCCATATCCTTTCTGAAGTTGGGGCTCAAAACTGGATGCAGTACACCAGATGATTAGATATTTGTGTGGCTGAGAACATCTACCTTCAAGCTATAAACCAATTACTAACTGATAGGTGTTAGGAAGAAGCTTCCCCTATGAGCAGCTAATTACATAATTGCCCACTATGGTGTGGTTTTTTTTTATTTTATTTTTTTTGTACCTTCATCTGAAGCATCAATTGCTGCTGCTGTCAGAAACTGGATGCTGGACTAGAGAGTCCACTGAGCTGATCCAGTCTGGCAATTTCTGTGTTCTTATGCCCCTTTGTTTCCATTTTAGATAAATTACTTCATGGAATTTAATCCCATGATTACAAAGCCCCCCTGCCTCCAAACTCCCCTCCACCAAAAAGGCAAAAATTGCACTATATTTGTTTTGAAAGTAGGAATTTTTTTTAAATGAAACATGTACTCACACATGTGAACTAGAAATAGAAAAATAAAATCTGTTTATATAAAATATTGTTTGTCATTTCAAAATAGCTAACCAGCAGCAGTATTTAAACCAATTGTTATAAAATATTTATATATGAACAGGGGAACACTTTACCTGTATCCTTTACTTCAGAGTTGCATTTGGCTGGTGCTGTTTGATTTAATTTGTTTCATATCAAATGTTTTTATAAGAGGAAACAATGGTAGTGTGTTTTAATATTGATGAGCTTACTGTCCTGAGAATAATTGTATATGTACCTTCTCAGAATACAAACTGTTTGTTTTATATGGTAATTATACTAATACAATATCCCACTCAAAATTCAATGTACATCTTTGAAAGTGTGTTCAATGGATCGGTTTGCAGTTTGCATACACACACTTTTCATTTTTAGAGGTTTTTTTTTTATTAAGACAACTTATTTAACTGTGTCTTTATGGTACATATGAGCTAAATGTGTAAAATACACATGGTATTGTGTAGCCTATTGAAGTAACATGTTTAAGAACTTTATAAATTATTAAACCAGCATATTTGTATTTTTGGGGCTTACGAGTTTATTCCTCTAGTTAATGACAGAGTAATTATGGTACCTCTCATTTAACTTTTCTCCTTCTTTTTCCAGGAATTTGAACTTTGAAGTCCTGAAATTGTAGCTATTTGATGACAAACTGGCCTGTGAGCTCCCCTGAGGGTACAATGCAAGCAATTCAAACAGTGGAAAAAGAAGTAACTCTTATAAAGGAAACACTTTTCACAGAATCTTTTATAAAGAAAGAGGAACGTAGCAGATCCACCGTGAAAAAGCAGCTGTGTCAGGAGCAGCCATTGGAAGGAGCTGTCTGCAGCTTTCAGTGCTGTACTGAGCATGTCCCAGTAGAGCACAGTGCAAGCAGCATATTATGCAAAAAGGCAGCTCTAGCAGATGGGGGAGAGGCACAGCAAGCATTTGCGTCGCTTGCATCACCACCGCCTGAAAACAAACCTGGATTGCTAGAGAGGAGCTCGCCGGCTGGCCAAGTGAATGAAATCCAGCAGCATGGCTTGATTTCTGAAGGGGTTGGATTGCTAAAAATCATGGGGAACCAAGATGGGAAGCTAAAGAAAAATACAGGTGATGTATGTGAAGGAGGAGAGGATGCTTCTGGGCCCAAGGATACAGAAGGCACAAAGAAGGGAGCAGGAAGCAAAAAGGGACTGGGGAAGCATGGTAAAGGAAGTGAATCTGGCAAAAAGAAGGGTAAGTCCGACTCTAGGGCCTCAGTGTTTTCAAATCTGAGGATCAGAAAAAATCTGTCCAAGGCTAAAGATGGGACCAGTAGTTCAAGGGAGGATGTTTTAGAAAGCCAGGCCTTGAATACAGGGGAGCTAGACAGTGCTCATTCAATTATTAACAAAACTCCGGATATAAGCCTTTCTGCAGATGAAGCGGGTCTCTCGGATACAGATGTTGAGCATTTTGAAATTACAAATGAAACTCACCCAGCTGCTGCAGAGGCGCAGGATGGACAAAGGACCAGCTCTGGCTCCGATACGGATATATACAGTTTCCATTCAGCCACAGAACAAGAGGATTTGCTTTCTGATATCCAGCAAGCTATTAGACTGCAGCAACAGCAGGGGGCAATTAACATTGGAACTGAGGAGCATGTCACCAAAACAATGGACCCACACATGGCTAATTCTCAAGCAGCCCCCTTAGATCTTGAACGGTTTCTTTCAGTGACTAGCAGTGACAAAGAGAGTAGCCCAGAAACTGAGCAGGCTGTCTCCGCAATATCTGAAATTACAGAAAACATTCCTATCAGTGAAATTGAAAGTGAACTGAAAGCTACAGCAAATGTAACCGGGTATGCTGGTAACCATTTATTTGAAACACAAGAACACAAGCTATGGACTGTTGAACAGGAACATCTTGAGGCTGGAGTGAATGCTGTAGCTAGTGAACTCAAGGATTACCCACATTTAAATGTAGCAGTGACAGAAAATGGGTCTCGCAGTGACAGTTCTGCGTTCCATTTTCTGTTCCCAGCAGCAGATTCGGAGACTAAAATTAGTGAAGTACAAGCTGTTGTTTTCCCAGGTTCTGGAAGAGATGATGATTTTTCAGATGCAGGCCATGACCATGCTGCTGAGACTCAGGAAGGCAAATGCAGTCTATCAGCCAGCCAAGAGGCACTGGAGAGTGGTTTTTCTACTGAAATGAAAAATGGCACTTTGTCATCTGGGGAGATAGTGGGCAGTCCTCAGCTCAGTTCCCGATGCTTTAAGCCCTATCTAATTAACCCATGTTACATCAAAACCACAACTAGGCAGCTGAGTTCTCCCAATCAGTCACCTTCTCTTTCCCCATCCCAGAGCCCACTTTTTAAGAGAAGACGCGAGTCCTTCCAAAGAAAAGAGAAGGCATCAGTCAAGAAGCAAAGGTCCGTCAGTTTGGCTGGTTATTTCAGTCGATCAGCAGACTGGACAGAAGAGCTATCTGATCACAAAGGTGAAATATCTAAAAAGATTGGCTCTGCAGACTTCTTGGAGTACAGGAGGTCCAGGGAGAGATTGCAAGAAGAAAAAGAGCGTTTGACTCACTCAAGAAAATCCTCAGGGATCCAGGCTTCTACTGATACCTTTCCCAATGTCTTTACAGGTGAGTAACTTTTATTAAGTTTAGTGAAGTGACTTTCTGGGTGAAAATCTTACAAGTATACATTTCAGATCTGCAAATTAGCATGTACTAAGTTTAGATTCAAACCTTGTCTGTACAAATTAAGGTCCCAACCTTGCAAACACACATGTTTTTATGCATGTGAGTGATCCCGCTGTGGTCAATGGGACTACACGCAGGCATAACATTAAGCACATGCATAAGTGTTTGCAGGGTTGGGGGCTTAATTTGCTGGATCAGCATTTAATGCTTTACAATTTCCCCACAGGTAAGGGTATTAAATATATTGAGAATTTATAGTCAAAAACTGTTCTCAAATGTTCTGTCGCAGGTAAGTTGGCTCTCTGGGTGTGTAGAAAGTTCAGAAAAGAAACTTTCTAGTGTGTGTGTAGATATTGTGGTGCCTACAGGACCCCGTTGGGGTTGGAACTCAGTTGTGCTGGGCAATGCATAAATATGAAGTAAAATGTGGGAGATATGCATGAAGTCTCACAGTATAGATTGATTGGCCAGCAACTACTTATTTCAAGTTTTAAATGCCTCCAAAATAATGGATCTGTTGGACCTACTTGATGTTAGACACGTTTACATATCTAACAGTAGCACTATTAGTTCCTCTTACAAGAAGAGGCATGTGGTACAAAATGGAATCAGGAGTTCAAGCACAGAAGGGCCACACTGCAGAAAACATACTTTTTATCTCTCTCTCTCTCTCTCTCTCTATATATATATATATAGATATAGATATAGATATATAGATATGCGTGTGTATATCTATCTATAGGGGGGGTGTATCTATATATACACCTCTACCCCAATATAACGCTGTCCTCGGGAGCCAAAAAATCTTACCGCGTTATAGGTGAAACTGCGTTATATCGAACTTACTTTGATCCACTGGAGTGTGCAGGCCCCGGAGCACTGCTTTACCGCGTTATATCAGGTTGTGTTATACTGGGGTAGAGGTGTGTGTGTGTATAGGTGTCTCTCTCTCTCGAGATCTACATCTATCTATCTATCATAGAACTGGAAGGGACCCTGAAAGGTCATCAAGTCCAGCCCCCTGCCTTCACTAGCAGGACCAAGTGCTGAGTTTGCCCCAGATCCCTAAATGGCCCCCTTTAAAAGCTCATGATGAAAACTTAGTGGTTTTGGCCTGTTTGCAATCCAGGCTACGTTGTGTAAATCATTCAGGTGTAATGTACTTAGGAAAGCATTCACTGATCTTGCCTATTAGGCATCTTATAGCATTATGTCAGAAAGCTTAGAAATGCCTAGTTTAACACTTATTTTAAAATAGCATGCAATTTGATTGAAATGTTCTATATTTACTGCCCCTTATTTTCCTCTTTGTTTTTGAAGATTTCTGTTTTCTGTGTGTGTGGTTTTTTGGTCTTTGTTTAAGTTGAGCCTTCAACAAATAGATCAGGCCTGTGTCACGTTTCTGTCACGTATGTTGCCTAATTTTCCATACATCTCTGATGTTTTGGAAAAATATTCAAGTTATAAGATACTGAAGTGCTACAAACAAAGTTTACACAAATATTCCTTTGTAAGATTAAGTCAATCAAACACTCAAGCTAATACCAGGCTAGTTTTGGAAGGAGATGGAGGTCATACTGAATACATGATTTTGACTTACATATCTTTCAATAATGTTTGCAAAACTGCTTTTTGTACTTTTTAAATCACCTTTATAAAGTGGTGGGTCTAATTTGCTTTCTTAAAGAAACATTGTCATGATTTAAAAAATCATATATAAGGAAATAATTTTTACTATCAACAATTCTGTTTCTTTAATAAAAAGGTAACTAAAATATCTCCTTGTTTATAGCCAAGATTGTAACCTTATTTTTCATCATGTTACCATTTGTGTTCCTTCTTTACCCTTTGTACTTCACTCAGTTTTCACAGTGCAATGTGACAAAGTTTAACTTCTTGTTTCTAGTCCTTTTCACTAGCTGTTCTTGTAGAACAGCACAGTACTCCTGGAGTTGTGTTATTCAGATTAAAATATTACGTATTAGTCATGACTTTTGTAAATCAATAAGTTACTTTTTTTTTTTTTTTTTTTTTTTTAAAGCAGTAGGCTTGAGCAAAAATCCTCCATCTGAACTTTGGAATCAGAACCCAAATCTTGATCTGAATTCCACGTCCCATCTACATTAGATTGAATCGATGCCCATTTTCAAATCCCTCCCCATCTTCACCGCAAAATTTGGATCTGATTTCAAATCTCCCCATATCAGAATTTTGCATGTTGGAGCCATCTCTAGTTTATACTGGAGTTTCTAAATCCTTTCCCAACAAATAATACATACATACTTGCTCATACCAGTGTATTAATAATAAAACTTTATACTTTAAAAAAATCCCACAGACTTGTTCAATCATTTTCTCTCCCTCTTTCCCCTTTATTGCTGTGCTTTTAGAATAGATTTTAGTTATGATAAAAACCTAAGTATTCTAGTTTATTTTAAGGTCCTCTTTTCCATGGATAGCTTCTCATTCCTTACAGATTTTTTTTTCTCATCCTGTAAGCACTTCTTGGTTTTTATTCCCTATGTCTCCAACAATTTAAAGAGCGTAATTGTGAAAGGAGTAGTGTCCAATGCAGCAGTAGCTCTGTCTGTCATGGAAATTACTGTGACCCTCATTTGCATGCATATGCCAGCTGTCTTTGCAAGCAGAGGGTGATTATGCCTTTCATGTTATGCAGGATGGTTATGTTTAAAATAAAAGAACTAGAACTATAATTTATGTGTAAAAGAACATGCTATTGTCCTTTTTATTGCCTGCAAATTGACAGAAAAGTGTAAATAATAACAAATGGTGTAAAAGAAAATGGGAAATAACGGTAACATCAACTTTCCCAGAAAGTGCCCCTGTTCTCTCATATAGTAGCAGAAAAGCTTCCCTTGCTTTGTACTAAAAATATTCCCACTGAGCATCCTTCACAGCAACATTTATAGAAATAAAGTATGGTTTCTTCCTAACTCTTGAAGAGTGTGCTTTTTTTGAAAAAAATGTATATTTTATTTCCAGCAAGTTTAAGTGCAGTTGAGGGATTGGGATTACTAAATAGATTTTAAGCAAGCAATCTTTATGGTTTCTTATGTCTCTTTGAAATCTAAGTATCTTGTCTAGAGCACTACATCTTGCTATGCAGCAGTTGCAGTCAGTACATAATATCCTACATTCTATATAGAATCAAGTCAAATATTCCACATCACTTCTGTTACTGATTTTAATGACAGAAGGTTGTGAGCACATGACTGGCCTAGTTTACAGTATATTGTATTTAGGCTGTGTGCGCCATGTGATTTTTATAATGATCCACGTGTTCTGTTTTAAGGCTGTTCTAACACATGACATAAATAGTACTGAGCAGTTGAAATTGTAATGCTAATATATTTCATTTTCTGTATTTTTTTCCCTATTTTTTGATAGAATTGATTTAAGAAAATTTTCTTAGCATAGTTTAAAAATAAATAGCTAGTGGTCAGGTGTCAGCTGTTTTAGAAAAACATATGCAATATAGGTTGCCAAGAAAGCAAGTTTGCATATTTTTGTCATTTAAATTCTTATAAACAAACCATAATACCAGGAGTTTGATGCACTGACTAAGCATGCTGTGGGGGCTAGTTTATAGATCATTCTGAAATTAAGACTGTGGATCCATTTTTTAAACAGATAGCTGTTTGAAACTGCAGGAACAGTAACTACAAGAGTCTAGATTTCAACATGATGTGCAATGAGAGCATTATTTTTTACTTGTGATCCCAAGGGGACTAGAGCAGGACATGAATGAAAATAATCAGATCCTGCAGTTTCTGAGCATGTTATTGAATTATTGTCCTGACATTAATAGAGATTTTGTGGTAGAAAAGTGGAATTGCTGCTCCCCAACATTAGAATAATGGACATAGAGCTAATAATTTTGATGAAAGCCTTTTTTTATTAACTGAATGTATCATAGTATTAACCATAGCAAATTTGATAGAAAAAGAGCTGGTAAAGCTTTCTACTAAAAATTGTATCCTTAGGGATTCACTAAGTCATTTCAAATGGTAACTAATTATTTTTGTTTAAAAAAAACAGCTTTTGGCCTGGCTGCAATGTACTTGTTAAATTGTCTGAATCCATTTGAATTAGACACATGCATTTTTAAATGTTTGTTTTTTCTGTCTCTCTGTCTGTCTCCCTCTCTCCGAATAATTAACAATAATTAAAAACCCCTGAAGGCAATCACTTTTGTGGGCTTAAAGCCTGATTTGCTTTTACACTTGTGCTCCTTTACAGCACTCTGGCAGTAAATGTAATGTCATCTATGCACACTTTAAGGCCTCTCTACAATGCCAGACACTTGTAAAGGGACCTTAGTGTAAATGAGAATTTGGAGCTGAGTCCCTTGATTGTTTGAAATGTTTAAAGTTTGTTTGCTTCAGAAGGCTACTGAGCACGCACACAAAATGTTGGAGTTGTTTTGCAAGGTATTTTCTATTGCATATGACATCCTCAATGTGGACTTAAAAATATCCTACATCAGGAAAAATGTGTTTATGACACTAATGATATTTTGGGCTCCAAAAGCTATTGGTAAATTGTAAGTGTTGTTTGTCAGCAGTAACATAAAGTGTGTCCTTTATCAAGAAAAAGAAATGCAAAACCAATCAACAATAGCTAAACTATCATACGTGATTGAAAAAGGACAATGATGAGGCTCATGAAATAAATACTGATGCAGCACTAATGTGTTACCCTAACATTTTTGTTTCAAAACTGGACATTTGGAGGATTCTGGGATGTACTGTCCTTTTACAACTTCAGTATTGTAATGCTACCCAAATAGGTCTAGGTTTCCTGATCACTATTTGTCTGAATCTTCATTAGGACTGGAAGATTGAAATGACTCTGCAACTATATTTCTCACATGACCCTCTTTTGAGGATCTAGACCTGAAACACAGCCTGCTTTTGGGC